TGTCCTGTCCTGTGCCTACATTTGTCAGAGGGATTATGTTTTCTCCTGTTTCTCACTTGTGCTGCATAAACAAAGGTAGGTAACACTGAGTGGGCTTTGACCCTGATCTTTCCTCAGGGATGGGAGGAAATAGCTATCAGGCTGGATTCACAAATGGGGCGGGGGAAATCTTCAAATGGCCTCTTTAACTTGATAGCAAAGGTGCTGGAAGCCTTTGATTCTAACAAAAATCTATTTCTTCTAAACAACAATTGTAATACTATGGCATCTGCACACTTTATTGGATTAACTAGCTGGGGCCTTCCCCTGCTGGTTTAAAAATGGGATTACTGACTTCATCTCCTGCACAGACATGCACACAGACATAAATACAGTAAATATAGATGCTGAAAACAAGTGGCCTATCCCTACCCCATACAATATTCAATTTATTCGATTATCGGATTACTGAGACTGCCAAGAGAAGAGAGAGGACTATGGTAAATGCAAGCTTCAGTTTATATGATGGTCATATATAATGAGTGAAGAGGAAAACTTATACTATTCTCCTGTTTATCTCGCCTTCAGGTATTACCCCCATGTGATGAAGTTTACTTTGTAAGCCCTCCCAGAGCATGCGCTTATTATGTAGTCGTTTTGTGAAGTGCCCTCAGATCACTGGAAAGACACATAATAAATTATGGTCATACTTAGCACATGTTTTTTAAAATGCTATTGAGGAAAAAAAAGGGGGGGGTTTAATTGGAGAACTGAATCTTGTGTTTCAGCCCACTACTTCTCAGTTCTTAATGGCACCCTCAGAAATCAGTGTTTATTTTTACTAGCTCTGTATGAATATTTGATTCTGAATCAATTCAGAGCATCATGATTCAACCAATTGAACTAAAGGAGCGATTCTGACCCGTTTGGATGTTTTTTGCACACGTGCATGTGTGGTTAATGGTTCAAGTCTAAATGAATCTGAATTCAGAGATTCTGACTGAACTGATCTGGATATCCCAGTCAGTTTTGTAAATGGATTCAAATATTGAAATTGAATCAGATCCATTTTCCAAATCAGTTTCCATGTTCAGTAGAATCCATGTTTCTATTTTTTTCCTAGTGTTTCTGTCCATCCCACAAGATCCAACAGGGTAGGCATGTTTCAGGTCCCCTCTACTGTATGAAACAATGACATTTGGTGGAACCCAGGAGGCACGACTTCTCTGAAAACCTGCCTTACGGAACAGCATACAGCATACCCCCAAGCTTTGGATGAACCCAACCCTGTCACCCTTGTGCAAAGCCTTGAAAACTTGCTTTTCCCCAGAGCATCAGGCCAGGGAGTTGGATCTGTAATGTTTCGTAAGATCTTGGTGTTCTCTGAGCTTGGTTGTTTTGTAGCAGATGCCTCACTCACTGATGATGTTAATGAAACATCTGCAAGAAAACAACCAAGCTCAGAAAACACCAAGAACCCACAGTTCAACCCATTAACATGTGAAGCCCGTTAAATGGTTGCACTGTGTATAAGTTCAGACTGCACTCGCCCATCTTTTTGTTTTTTAACTGTACTTTTTAACTGTTTTTTAATTGGTTTTAAGGGTTGAATGTTGTGATTGTTAGTCGTGTTTTAATTGTGTATATCACCCAGAGTTACATGCAAGTGAGATGGGCAGGCATATAAATTCAATAAATAAACAAACAAACAAACCCAGATCTACCCATATTCTGTACTATCATTTTGTAAGAGTTGGAAATATTATTGTGGTTTGGCCTCAGCTGTACAATATTCTTTGTTGCTTTTATTTTTGTTGGTTATTTCTTGTTGTTCTGTTTCAACCATATGTTAATCACCTAATCACAATTTGTGAGTTGGAGAGCCATATAAATCAATCAATCAATCAATCAATCAATCAATCAATCAAACAGACAAACAAGCAAATCTAACTAGATTCTTTCACTCCTGACAGCTTCCTTCTTTGCACAATATAATTTGTAGGTTGACCTGCCCAAAAGCAGGAGTTCCAATGTCACTTCAGCCAAAGCTAAACCAGGTGTTTATAGATAACACTGTTTCTTTCAGCTGAAATCACCATCTCCAATAAACACCGGAATAATAATATTGGGCTGCTTTACAAGTGTTGCAGGAAACTTTGTGAAGAATTTTGGAAATTTGAAATTTGCTATTGAAATTCTAACCATTATTAGTTTAGCTTCCTGCACCCATAGTTTTGCCATGGCTGGACTGTCATTTTTGCTCTCAATTCTGTAATACCTTCCAGTAAGCGCTGTGGTAACTTTTAAGTAACCAGACATGGTGTCATCTTCATGTCATTCTTGTGTGACATCTCCAGGGAATAGGCAAAAATATACATATACAGTAATCATTTTGCGCCTTTCAGTCTCAGTGTCAACTACCACGAATGGTCTTGTTTGAAGGAGCTGATCTTGTCCTTGTGGAGATTATAATGTATCATAATTGGACATCACTTTATTTGGGAAAAACTGCAGATTTTTTTTTGGCTACATGTTCCTATGCAGGAAAACCAGAATCAGTTATGTTTATTCAGTCAGCATGTTTATCAGTTTCCAGAGGAGTAACTATGCTAATCGTTCATAGTAAAAACACCAATTGTGTAACTCCTTAAAGACTAAGAAATGTATTGCTGCATTTTGATCCTCAAAAGCAATGTGATGAAAATGTTGGACTTTAAGATGCCCAAGACCCTTTGTTGTTCGAAATATGTGTATATTTTATATCTATATTTTTATCTATATCTCTATTTATCTGTTACATGTGATTCTTCTGCATGTAGACATTTGACATTTGCCCTGATAATTGTAAAACTGATGAACACAGTACTGTCACAGTAACATATGGTGGATATTTCCATTTTGTACCACGTCATATCCTACATTTTAAAAGATGTATACCTATGCTTCAAATGGATATGTATGCATATAAAAATAGAAATGCAGGGTTTTTTTTACTAATATGGATACCACAGGATACATATATGTATATACACATGTTGCAAAAAGCTGTACACAACATTGCTCCCCTCTTGAATAACAAAATCAGGTTGTTGATGAATAATATGCAAACCGTTTAATGTGGCTTCCTTTTATTTCTTCTTACTGAATTGTATCACAAACCAGACATTTTGTTCTTTTAATGGTGCAGTCAATGGTGGTGCATCTGCCCAAAAGTTGCCCAAATAAAAAATTCCACATATTTTTCTCCCCCTCTTTAGTGGTAAAAATATGTAACTGTAATTAATTAAATAGCAAACAATTTTCTGTATGTTCACGACACCAAAAACTGCTGAGACAAGTGCCTCACTTTGTGAACATTTCAGCCAAACCAAAAAATAAGGTGACTTTGTATATTATGATCCCAGTGTGCAAAACTATTTTCCAAACTTGAAACACTTCCAAAATGACTGAAGCAGCCAGTTGTGAGTGGGATTTTTATTCTGAAACAGCTCTTTGGAGCCTCAGAATGAGGCATTTTGAAATGGTGACAGTTCAGTTCTGAAATGTTTCATACATTCCTCAACCCAACACAGCTATAGTTAACGGCAAGATTCATTCCACTGAAGGCAACAGGATTTAAATTGTATCAAGGCCTGATGGAACTTGGTCAGCCTCTACTGAAGCTGGGAGTCCATTTGCAGTTGTACACTTCAAAGGGATCTGTGGAGTCCATGGTGCTCTGACCTTGGTTGTTTGCTTGCAGACGTTTCATGACCCAACTAGATAACATCATCAGTGCAGATAGCTGACTAGATACCTAGTCAGGTCATGAAACGTCTGCAAGCAAACAACCAAGGTCAGAGAGCATCAAGGACTCCACAGTTCAACCGTGAGCGAGATATTTTCTTCTATTAAAAAGGGTCTTCCACAACATGATGTGTTGGACTACAGTCTCCAATGACAATGCTGAGTGGAAATCATGGGAGTTGTAATGCAACGCATTGGGAGGGTACCACTTCGCAGAAGCTGGTCTACCATCCAGTGACATTTAATATACTATAAAGGGTCAATCCAATTAACACCTTCGCAAACAAGAGTGTCCCACAGGTACAGTCCAGCAAGAAGCTGTTTGATTGGCTGCGGGGTCCGGGTGAATGTGCGGGGCCGGCGGGAGGGGACTCGGATTCTTTGTCACGTACCTTGCGGAAGGAACTGTAAAACTCACAGAGCTATTCGGAGAGCACACCGCAGGGCTGCACGACGCCCGTACCACAGAAGGCCCCCTTCTTCCCACTCATGCGGTGTGGGAGCGCTTGACCCTTTCCCTAAAGCTCAGGGGGCGGGGGCG